TTAGTATTTTGTATTTTCCTTTTGTATCTTTACAGTGCATTTATATGAGGGTGATATGGCTAGTAACAATCATAGAGCAAAACCTATGTTTGAAAGTCATTTTCAAAATTAGTCATTTTCTTGAATGAAATTAGCCGTGTGTTCATTACTTTATTGTACTGGACTTTGGCACTAAAGACTTTAATGGAACATCTGTACTTGTGAATCTTTGTTCTCAACAATGCCAAACAAAAATTCTGATTGAATTATTAAAGATGGCCTGAAAGGGTGATTTCTTCTGATATTTCTACTGGACTTAACTTTCTTATGTATGTGTTTTTTGGTTTTTAGACTGTTTTATTTGACAATTCACTGCACAGAACCTAAATTTTTTTGCAAGTTAAAAAAAACTCTATAATGTTACATACTTTAGATAAGGTAGCATGTTTTGACTTCTGTTCAATTCCCTTGCAGTTTTCATATTTTCCTCCTTTTTCCCTTTTCTGTTAATGTGTAGCATGATAACAAAGCACTTGTTATTATATTCTAATTGATCTTATTTCACAGTTAATTTCTATGAAATACATTTGTAGATTTCATGAGCATCTAAAATGCGAGAAATACAATAAAAAATCTTGATGTTAGGATTTTAGATATATATTACTTTACAATTGATTGCCACCTTTGATTCTTATCTAAAGGAATATCCTTACTCTAGAAATAGAATTGAATAAAGAAACTATTGAAGACAGACACATTTATAGCTTTGGTTATCTGATGTCGCTATCTGTAATCAGAAGTCTTTGATGAAGTCATGTATTGGATCCCCCTACAGCAGATGGCAGTCCTGCAAAGTGTATTATGTTTTCCTTATTTATGACAGTGCTGAGATTTGATATTTTTGGAGTACATTTTACTTTCTAGAATAAAAATCTGATTTCAGTGCTGCTAAAGGGAGAGTGCACATGTGCACCAGAGGGTGAGGGAAGAAAAAGAGAGAAATGTGTATGTAATTCCCTGTGCCCTTGCTCCCAACTATATGTGTGTCTCTTTCCCACCGGGATAGGTTGTCATTTATGATTCCCTAGCAGTATGGCCAGATTGAATTGCTTTTCTTACCGCTTTTGCTACAGGGTTAGCCTAACCATTTCTCTCATTCTTCTGTGCTTTCTGTCTCCCTGTTTCTAACTTTCATTCTTTCTTGGGTCGTCAGACTCACCACTACTACCTGAAATATTTTCCCATTTCCTTTCCTGTTTCTCACTTTACCCTCCTCTTAGTTCAAGGTGGCAGAGTCTTTAGTGATAGATCTGGTAGTGGCAAGTGGGATAGAAGGAACTGGTGTTCATGTTAGTAGCTTTGCTTTTGAATCTTCCATTTTACTTTCAGTCAGGTCTTGTGTAAGTCTCACCAAATACTCAGACTCTGCAGTGTTAACCAGCTTTGCTTTCAGGGCCCGTACGGGGAGTGAGTGGAGGGAAACACAACAGGTGCTTAGGGCGCAGCAAAACATCTCCTCCCACCAAAAAAAAAAAGTCTGTTTCCAGTTTTTGCTAGTGGATCAAAACCTAGAGATGCCTGTAGGACTCTGATAGCTTGATGAAAGGGAAGAGGTACCAGAGAGGCTGTGGGATAGGTTTTTGATTGACACTAGAAAGAAGATGCTCTTAGTCAAATCCTAAGTTGGAAGTAGAGCATAAGAAGGTAGTCTAAATCTGTGTTCTTCCTAGAAAAGGGAGTAATGCCATATGTTGGATTTCACTAAGTTTACCTGGTCCTCTATGAGTCTTAGTCTCTGAAACTGTGGAAATGTTAATTTTACCTTTTTTTCCTTCTTTAAGATCCCAGACTTTTAGGGAACTGCCTGTTTATAATTGTTCTTAGTTACTTTCCTTGTCAAATGTTTTTACAAAAGGAGGCAGATTGCTTTTGTTAAATTCATAAACTGTTGTTTTTAGATATGAGGTCTAGAATTTAATGTTCCTTACTGGAAAATACTAAGTCAAAATAACATGCTTTTAAAAATGGAGCACATGGAATTACAGTATATTACATTTTATTGAATTGGTTCCATTCAGAAAAGCAGATACTAAGAGATTCTCTATATAAAAGATTAACAAGGAAGAGGATAATGTAAGTCTTTGTTATTGATTACCGCTTTTAATCCTGTAGAATAGAAATAGAAAAATATTAATTTATTAGAAAGTCAAATAAGATTCAAAGTGTTTCCATCATTAATTCTTGCTGAACTTTCTCTTATATCTATCATTTTAGTCTATGAATCATGGAACTAGCTTCTCTGAAACTGGTGAATTGGCATGCATATACTAGAAATGGGAATGATGAAAATAATATGGGAATGATAATTCAGGTATATCTTAAAAGAAAAATGTTACTTCTCATCACTGTATTGCAACCGTGGTGTATTTTCTGCTTACCTTGGTCTTACGGCTGAAGCTTTGGAAAGTTTATTATTCCTGTCGTATTTCTATGTTTGTACAACCATTGTCTTTAGCAGAAAGGAGTCATTGATGCTAAAAGATGACTCTTGCCTTTGTCAGTGCCAGCCACGACCTTTTACTCAGAGTCTGGATATGTTAACAATAAAACCACAGAGCCTTGAGTTTAAAACCTAGCCAGATTCTTGTTATTCTGTAGCATTCTTCGATCCCCTTATCATGTCCAACATCAGTGGTATATATACCACTCTGTAGCTGCTGACTCCCTCATGTAATTAATTACCAATTTATTTAATTATTCTATGCCTTTTCTTTATAAAAGGAAGTAGAGTACTTGATGAAAATTGAATATGTAGTTTCACATAATTTTGTGTATCTCTTAAATTTTGCTTCAGATGTTCTCTGTAACTGATACCATCTTTCCTCTCTCTCTATTTTTTTACAAATATATTTAAAATTTGCATGAAGCTGAGTATAGTAGTTCACACCTGTGATCCCAGCATTTTTGGAGGCCAAGGTGGTAGGATTGCCGGAGGCCAGGGGTTCCAGACCAGCCCAGGCAACATAGTGGAAGAATTGGTCTCTACAAAATTAAAATAATAATAATAATATTAATTAGCTGAGCATTGTGACATGTTTCTTTAGTCCCCGCTATTGAGGAAGCTGAGGCAGGGGGATCACCTGAGTTTGTGGTTTCATTGAGCTGTGATCATCCCATTGTACTGCAGCCTGGGTGACAGAACAAGAACCCTGCCTCCAAATGAAATAAAAAGTAAAATACACATAAGCCTTATATTTATTAATCATTTGATATAAGAAAATACAAAGTGATAAAAAGACTAAGTTATGGTTTGATTATTTTCGTTAGGACAATATTCATCAAGATAACTTTCCATTATGTGTTCAATACAAGTAAAAAATACAACTTTTCATACAGTTATTTGCAGTTCCATATATTAGTGGATTTTGTAGATTTATAATCGACTTTTTCTTGGATTGAGTCTGAGGAATACTAACTGCTATTCTACAGTGTTGGTTGCAAAGAAAATGCTTGTAAAATAGCCCAGTGGTATCTAATGTTACTGGAGAGATGGTAACAATTGTTTTTTACATGACATTCCCCAAACTCATCTGTATCTCTAAAATTTGGAATTTTAATAAAGGCTCCACAGGAATGAACAAAACACTGTTCACATAATCCCTGTGTTTTCAAAGCTTCTGGTTCACTTGAAATAATCATCTTTCCTATTAACTCTTTTTTAAAAGTAATTAAAATATTCGTTAATCATTTGATACAGGAAGTACAGATTCATAAAAAGAATAAGGTCCTAATAACTAAGTTAGTAATTAGTACATTCTACTTTGGAAACTGAAGCCCCCCCCCCCGCCCTTTCCCTGCTTTTTGTTACCCATCCTTTCAATTTGGCAATTCTGTCACTATAAAAGAGCCTTCGTAATCTTTGCAAATTAGTGGAGAATTTGTGGCAATTAATTTATTACATAACACATTCTCACCTAAATTACAGAGAAATTACAGTGGGACTTCCAAGAATATTTTGAAGAAAAGGTGATTTCTGAACTTAGCAGAGTGTTATCATTGTGATATCTAGGCTGTTCTCATGAAAGAATGAAAGAAGTCACCTATTTCTGTGCTGACGGGTTTCATCACAGAATGAAACTCAGAAGGGGTTAGAGAAGTGTACCCTCCTAGCAGTCAAGGATGAAGAAGACTGGCGGCTTCAAAACAGAAGAGGTAGAAATGGCTTGAGTGAGAGATCTCCAAGTCTTCCAGCTTCTTCTGAAGACTGACTGGGAGGTGAAAATGCTGGAGTCCAAGGGTCGGAAGATGTGTTAAGGATGCACAATGAATTGATTTTGTTTTTTCTGGTTATGGTAACTAATTCTTTCTCACTGTGAATTTTCCTTTGTCACCCTCATAAGAGTAGAACTGCTTATTTGAAATCAAATTGTGTGTAGTTTTAGAAGAGTTTGAAGTGCTTCCCACAAAATTACTAGGGCAAGTTGTGTCATTTTGATTTTATATGACTCATGTTGATTTGATATGGTTGACAGGTGTATTTAGTTTTGTCTTCAGTTATGAATATCTGATCACTAATCAGAAAGAAACCAGCTTTATTAAATTGAATGGTTGTTTATCTTGCTTCATTTTCTAAGGCTTAACTATGAAAACTGAATTATTCATGTTTTCATATAGGCAGTACCTAAACCAGAGAAAGTTTGGGGGTTTCTTTGCTCCTAGAAGTAGCAGTGCAGTGCATGGGGCAGGATGGAGAGACTCTTCCCATTCTAAAGTCTGCAAAGAAGTATTTTCCTTCTGAAATTCTATAATTTATATAGGGTATTGCATGAAGATTGATGGAGCAGCGATGAAGATACTTTGCAGTAACTTACATTTGACGGGTTTCTGAGGCAAGGATTGATACTTAGCTGTTCCTCAAAAATGCAAATACCACTTGCTGAATTGTACTTTGTTGTCCTGTACTGAAAAGAATCCACAAAAGCATGTTTTTAGATATATCTTTGATTCTCTTCTCTTTTTAGGTATGGATGAACGAGGAGGTACAGCATCTTGGGGAACAAGTGGTCAACCAAGTCCTTCCTATGATTCATCTAGAGTAAGTTTGCTGCTCAACTCTTGAATAAAACTGTAATTTGGCAGACTAAGTAATTTATTTCATATATGCTCTGTTTCTTATGAGAAGTGAAGATTAATTAATTTTCATGGGAGTATAGTAGAATACCCATTAATTTTATGATAGACTTAATTCTTTTTATAAACTCTCAAACTTTGGAGATTGATTTCCTACAGTTAAATTTTCTTGGTGTTATTTGTGCACCTGAACTATCTACAGTACTCTTTACTAAAGAGCTTGGAATGCCTTAGTGCTCTCCAAATGTATTTAGCCAGTTTTCTTTATGTGTTGTTTATTTGCTTTGTGAGATGGCAGTGGCTTTCAACGTACCAACTTCTAGCCTTTTTCCCTCGCCCTTGTTCCAGCAGTCTTCAGCCTTTTGCAGCAGGAATAACAGCCCTGCCTCTTCGAAGCATATTAAAACAGACATAACTGATGACACTCCTTGGTTGACAATTAAGAGAAAATAGGACAAGCTAACTTTGTACACACTGAGATCCCAAGGTTAAAGCGTTTTCCAGCGAAAAAACAAAAAATTAACAAAACTTTATAAAATTAGATCAGGAGATGGAAAATTAGATCAAAGAATTGGAATAAAATTGAACACTCTGCTCCCAGACTCCCAGTAAATTGATGAGGTTAAGAGAGACTTTTCCAGGCCAGGTGTAGTGGCTCATGCCTGGAATCCCAGCATTTGGGGAGGTCGAGGCGGCTGGATCGCTTGAAGTCAGAAGTTTGAAAACAGCCTAGCCAACATGGTGAAACCCAGTCTCTACTAAAAATAGAAAAATTAGCCAAGGTGGGTAGGCACCTGTAGTCCCAGCTATTCGGGAGGCTGAGGCAAGAAAATTGATTGAACCTGGGAGGTGGAGGTTGCAGTGAGCAGAAATCATGCCCCTGGACTCAAGCCCAGCCACAGATTAAGGCTCCATCTCAAAAAAAAAAAAAAAAAAAAAAAAAAAACAAACGAAAGAGAGACTTTTCCAAAAGGCCATACTTTGAATGAATAAATTTCTCATTTCTCTGAAAGACAAGCATAAAATTTAGAGGTAGTTAACCTTAGAAGTAAATTGCCTTAATGTGAAGAAAACGGAATTTGAGATTGAAACACATAGCCTCAGTATGAATTACACAAGTTTGCACTGAAAAATGCTGGCAAGGCATGGTGGCTCATGCTCTCATGCCTGTAATCCCAGCACTTTGGGAGGCCGAGGCGGGTGGATCATGAGGTCAAGAGTTGGAGACCATCCTGTCCAACATGGTGAAATCTCATCTGTATTAAAAGTAGAAAAATTAGCTGGGCATGGTGGTGCATGCCTGTAGTCCCAGCTACTGAGGAGACCGAGGCAGGAGAATTGCGTGAACCGGGGTGGCAGAGGTTGAAGTGAGCTGAGATCGCTCCGCTGCATTCTAGCCTGGCGACAGAGCGAAACTCTATCTCAAAAGAAAAATGCTGAGTTAAAATAACTTTTGTTGTTGTTGTTGAGACTGAGTCTCGCTTCTTTGCTTGTGCTGGAGTGTAATGGCGTGATTTTGGCTCACTGCAACTGCTGCCTCCTGGGTTCAAACAACTCTTCTGGCTGGGCGCGGTGGCTCACACCTGTAATCCCAGCACTTTGGGAGGCTGAGGCGGGTGGATCACCAGGTCAAGAGATCGAGACCATCCTGATCAACATGGTGAAAGCCCGTCTCTACTAAAGTTACAAAAAAATTAGCTGGGCACGGTGGCATGTGCCTGTAATCCCAGCTACTCAGGAGGCTGAGGCAGGAGAATTGCCTGAACCCAGGAAGCGGAGATTGCGATGAGCCGAGATCGCGCTATTGCACTCCAGCCTGGGTACCAAGAGCGAAACTCTGTCTCAGAAAAAAAAAAAAAAAAAAAAAAAACTCTTCTGCCTCAGCCTCCCTAGTAGCTGGGGTTACAGACATGTGCCACATGCCCGGCTAATTTTTTTATTTTCTTTTTAGTAGAGACAGGGTTTCACCCTGTTGGCCTGGTCTTGAACTCCTGACCTCAAGTGATCCACCTGCTTCAGCCTCCCAAAGTGCTGGGATTACAGGTGTAAGCCACTGTGCCTGGCCAACATACCTTTTGAAATACGGGGTTTTACTGTTGTATTTGGCTGTAGCCTATGTTTAATTTATTTTAAATCCTTTGGAAAGAACTGGGATAGTCATATGGAATCTAAAAAGATATCTAAAAAGGCTGGTAACGGTGGGTTTTTGTGTTTCCTGTTTGGGAATCAGAGGTTGAGAAAGCTACATTGTAGTATAAAGAGCCCCAGATACTGAGTAAGTCGGCACTTAGATTTTACTGTCAACTCTGTTGTGAACCAGCCATTTAATCTTGGACACATTATTTTTGTCTCGAGGCTACTTAATTAAACCGGTTGTGTCCAAATTACCTTCCACTCTTAAAAGCTTCTGATTCTTTGAGTAATATAATGAATATGTGAGGTAGGATCCAGTTTAGATTTTGAAGGTAGGAGTTTTATGTACTGGGAAACTCACAATACTGTTTATTAATATTGGATTATTGTTTCCAGAGGCTTGAGTTACTTTGTAATAACCTGTTATTTCTTAGAATGCATTAAATGGTGCCTGAGTGCCTTATATTTATCTCTTTTTCAAACCCCCCACCCCCGCCAGCCTTTGAGTGCTGTGTAGGATTTTAGAAGAAAAAAGCATATTAATGTATCCAAATACTTATGTAATGTATGTTACCTTCAGAGATGGAATCCAAAGCAAATCTTGCTTGTCTTTTTTGCTATTTATAGGTCAAATGTGAATTGCTGTATTTTACTCTTTATTTATTTTGAGCGTATATTATGTACGGTAAGCAGTTAAACTGATAATATAATAAACTAATTTCCATAGGACTGTAGCACCACGTATGTATTTCTCCCTGTCTGTTGAGAGATCAGAGAGAGGATTTAGTACTACCCCTTGTTTTTGTCCCCATTTAATCCACTCTTCCACTAGTTTTTTTCCTTCTATCCTAGTTATTGTCTAACTCTAAAAGGTTTGGTGAGATAGTTAAGAGGTTTTTGGTGTTGTCTTCAAATAAAAATTTGGATCCAATTTAAAGTTATTATTCCTGTTAGTTTTTCTTGCCAAGGAGAACTTTTTGGTTGTCTTTGAAGCCTCCCTCAGTACTACTTTATAGGAAAATTATCAGCTTTTGGGGTTTCATCTTTTAACTTCATTCACCATCTTGATCATTTTTTTCATAATTGTAAGCATAAATGGGTATAATTGTGTTAATAAGAATATCAAAGTACTTCATTCTATTTCAGTATTACTGAATTTCTTAAATTCCTATTTAAGTACATTGAGGTTCTTAAATTCACAAATAAATATGGATGCTGGCTAAAGACTAGTTTTGACTTTAGTTAAAAATGTGTCAGCTTAAACTTTAAAGAAATTACAGATACTTCTGTACAAATCATGTAAATGAAATTTATTTAGACTTTATTCTATTGTATAAATATTACATTTCCATCAGCAAATTGCATTATTTAAAAATAATTTGATTTTCAGTAACATCATTAAATAGAAATTTTTTATTTTACTTTTTATAATATTTGGAAATGCTTAGTAGGTTAAAAAAAGGGGGGGTGTTAGAAACTGCAGAATGATTAATTTATTGGAGATACAAAATACATGCTTTAAACTTACATGCATTGAACTATCTGAGCTGCCATTCTATATCCCCCTCCTATACAGCTGCCATTCTATATCCCCCTCCTATACTCGTGCAAAACTATAAGGGAGAGACAATAAGTTCTTAACAATAATATGAAACCATATTTGGCAGATGAACCCTATTAATATTATATAACTATATGTTAAGGTATGAAAGTATTTACACAAAATCATGTTGATTGAACTTACTTTTTATTTAATAGTTTTTCAAGGAAAATTTTTGCTATGTATACTATTTGCCTTACAGGGTCCTGATTTAAATTGTAAGATACCATGCTACTGCGTAGTCTTGATACATAAATGAGCTCCACCTGAGTCATGAAGTTAAGTGGTCACAAACTTTTCATCTTTGCTAGGCTTATACCCATTCTTTCAGAGTTAGGGAAAGTCACACTAGCACAGCCCCAGTCTGTGTGTCTGCCTCTGCTTTTACCAAATCCATCCGAAAAGTAGCCTCGCAGTGTAGAGGTGGTTAAGTTTCTAGTTATCAGAAACCCCTACAGCAGACCATTCGGTGAAGAGGTTTTGCTAGACATAAAAATAGACTTTGTACCAAAGAGTGGTGATAGAAGAAATGGTAGGCACGGTCAGCTTTCTTAGGAAATGTGGGTTTCACACTGCCTATGTGTGTCTCAGGATCTTTGAGACACCCAGAGGGATCGAACATTTGTGTGTTGTGAGCTGCGGACGTCGCTGCTTTTGTTAGAGTCCTGGTTTCTGCGCTCTTCATCTGCTGCCCGCCTGTGCAGAGAGAACACACACACGCGAACATATAGATAGAATCGTGTTGCTGGTAGCGCTTCCAGTTTTAGAAACTTGTGAATGTGGTGATCAAGGTGACGCACCGGACACTGAAAGGAGCAATTAAAATCTCAGGTAGTTTAGATGTGGGCAAGAGATCTAATTAATGAGTTTGTTCCCTGCCTCCCTTGTTTTTATTCTTTATTACATGGAAATGTTGGTTCTACCAGGCTTACAGGCCAGAGAATATTGTGGTTGTTCTTGTTCATACAGTGTTAATGACTGATTCTAGTTGCAGATTTTTTTACTCTTCAGAAGGCTGTGCTTAAGAGCACAGACTGTGAAATCATACTGCTTGGGTATGAATCATAACTCTGCCACTTAATACCTGTGTGATTCTGGACAAGTTATTTAAATTTAGTGTACTTCAGTTTACTCATCTGTGAAATGGGGATAATGATAACTGTTTCATGAGGTTGTTGAGGATTAAATGAGGCAATATGTGGAAATTGGATAGATCAACATCTGATATGTGG